AAATAAATAAATAATATGCAATAAAACAAATAAACCCTAAAAACGGGCTGGGTCCAAGTCACCAACACTGCCTGCCTTAAAAATGTTTAAAATCCCCCTGGAGCTGCTGGAACTCCTGACCAGCTCTGAGGGATGACCCAGCACACAGCACAATAAAACCTATAAATAAATAAATAAATAAATAATATGCAATAAAACAAATAAACCCTAAAAATGGGCTGGGTCCAAGTCACCAACACCACCTGCCTTAAAAATGTTTAAAATCCCCCTGGAGCTGCTGGGACTCCTGACCAGCTCTGAGGGATGGCCCAGCACACAACACAATAAAATCTATAAATAAAGAAATAAATAATATGCAATAAAACAAATAAACCCTAAAAACTGGGTCCAAGTCACCAACACTGCTTGCCTTAAAAATGTTTAAAATCGTGTCCAAGGAAAGCCCCTGGGAGCTGCAGGGACTCCTGACCAGCTCTGAGGGATGGCCCAGCACACAGCACAACAAAACCTATAAATAAATAAACAATACACAATAAAACCAATAAACTCTTAAAATGGGCTGGGTCCAAGTCACCAACACTGCCTGCCTTAAAAATGTCCAAAGAAACCCCCTGGGAAACCTCCTTTATATATATATATATATATATATATATTTATATATATTTCTATTTTAACTTCTAAATTCTTAGCTTATTTTACATAACTACACTTCTTCATTATAAACTCCTCACTATTTTATCCATACAGCTTCTTGATATATTCTTACTTGCAACTATAGAACCATAAGTGTGTGATTTTTCTGCTTAATGCCTGTGTATTGTATTTTTACATTAACCTAAGCTTCTCTTGAGGCTGTAAATCAAATTTTTCTCACCAAGAAGCACCTCCCCACCTTAAAAAAAAATCCTCCAACACTTCCCTGACCCGAATTCCTGCCATAACCCCAAACTTACAGGGAGGTTGACATCACAGCTGAGCTCACAGAGGGCTCTCACCACCTCGGTGAAGCCCTGGCTGACAGCCACGAACAGGGCGCTGCACTGGGCATTGTTCAGCAGGTCTGCACTGGCCCCCTTGGCCAGCAGCACACGGGCAACCTCCGCCTGGTTGCTGGTTTAAAGCAAGGGAAAAAAGCAGATTTGAGTCATTCCAGGCAATTCTCTCTCTTTGCAAAGCAACAGAAATCAGAAATCGGGTTTTGTATCCGCTCAGCCCCACCCCGCTTCCTCTTAGTGTTAAAAAACCTGGGTTTTTTTTTTGTTGTTTGTTTTGCTTAGGTTTTTGTTTGGTTTGTTAGGGTTGGTATTCTTCTTCTTCTTCTTCTTCTTCTTCTTAAAAAACCTGGGGGTTTTGGGGGTTTTTTTTGTTTGTTTTGCTTAGGTTTNGGCAGCTCCCAAACCCCACTGCACCTTTGCTGAGTTTAGCTGAGTTATCTGCTCCTCACAGAAGCACCAATTTGTCAGACAATTTCACTGACAGGTGTTTGACAAACTTTTTCTTGATTTTGGTTTTATTTCTCACCTCTTTGATGAGAATTTCAGCCACTTCCATGTGGTTGTTGAGAGCAGCAAGGTGCAGGGCAGTGAATCCATCTTCCTTTTTGGAATCCACCAGCTGTCGAGCCCTGGCCAGAATCTTCTTGATGGCTCTGCAGGGTTGGAGAGGTTATTAAAGATGGAAAAATGAATTTCTTGAATCCTCAGAATTTCCTGAATTCTCAGAATAAATTGCTCAGGAGTCAGCAATGCCCATGTTTCACCATGGCACCAGCAATGAAGAGCAGTCCCTCAAACCCACAATTACAAGAACACAACAAAAGCCTTCAGTTACCTTTAATAAAGCAGGGGAAAGCCACATTGCTTTGAAAATAATGAGATTTATTTTTGGAAGAGCTCCAGAGGCTGAACTAAGACCCAAATATCTGAGACTGTCCACACACAGAGATTTCCCAGCCTAGGGAAGCATGAGAAAGATGGGGAAAGCAGGCAGGAGTTTCCTGTGAAGGAGCCAATCCTAAACCAAAAAATATTTAACCAACTACCCAGAACCACATCTGCCACCTCCTCAGCCAGCCAGCACAAATTAACACCTGAAAAAGGCATAAAAATGGAAAAAAAAAAAAAATAAAGGTGACTTACAGCTTGTTGCCTTTCAGGGCAGCATAGTGGAGCAGGTTGAAGCCTTGGCAGTTCTGGACAGTGAAATCGATGTTGGGAACTTCAGTGAGGATCTCAATCACGGCTTTGTAGTCCAGGGTGATGGCATAATGCAGGGGGGTGTCTCCCTGGGAATCCTACACATGGAGAGCAGAGCAAAGCCAGGTTACAAACACCAAAAACCCCAGAAAACCTCCTGGGAGCTGCTGGGACTCCTGACCAGCTCTGAGGGATGGCCCAGCACACAGCACAATAAAATCTATAAATAAATAAATAAATAATATGCAATAAAACAAATAAACCCTAAAAACTGGGTCCAAGTCACCAACACTGCCTGCCTTAAAAATGTTTAAAATCGTGTCCAAG